TGTTTTAGTTGCACGCGTGTCATCATATACGTGTGTAGGTTTTGGCCAAAACGTATTTCATGGGCAGCCTAACCCATCCCATTTTGATGTTTGAGTAAAATGCTTGGCTGATGTGAGCCTGATTGACATCTTGCAACCTCTGTAGGTCGCTTCGATAGTAGTCTGAACCTGTACGTCAAGATTGCACTGCATTCGTTACAAACCGTCAAAGTTGGCCATTGGATTTGGGCCAACAGCCCACCGATGATTAAGTCAGTGATGGTTATAGAGATAAATGAAAATGATAGATTAAGAATATGTATACCAACCTAGATAAGCTATCATCATAACAAGTCTACCGTAAGACAATATGCCCCCCGTCTGACGAGTTCAATCATTTCGTCACTGAAGTGACTCGTCACGAAAGTGATTCGTCACGGAAGTGACTCGTCATGAAAGTGATTCATCACAGAATTGACTCGTCACCGAAGTGATTCGTCGGTGAATTGATGACAATATGTAACAAAAAGTAACAAACTAAAAATGAAACAACTTTAAGGGTACCGTATTGCAGCTCTTTAGAACCTATTTACCATCAGACGACATGCCCCCTGCCTGAGATTTCAACCATCTTGTCAAGTCTATCTCGTTATGGTGTTACGAATCACTCCTCAGGTCTTGAATAAGGTTTTCCAGACTTGTAATCATGCCTCATAGGAGATTCTGATTTCCCATGCCACCTGTCATACTCAAATCGTCCGTGGCGGGATCGTAAGTCTTCTTTTAGACGGATGAAAGTCAACGCCTTTGCCTGGACATCTTCGAAAGATCGTCAAGGGTATTTCGTCAGCTCTCGGTACAACTCTGAATCTTCATACAATCCTTTTCTGAATGCTTCAATGACGGTTGAGACATCACACTTTGGGATTGACACCTTCCTTACGTTGAATCTGTGCAAATAATCTCTAAGTGATTCACCCTGCCTTTGCGTAACTTGATACAAGTCACTGGCCCGACTTTCCAATACCTTACTACCCGCGAACTGTCGACTGAAAAGATTGACGAGTTCGGTGAATGAACCGACGCTTCCATTCGGAAGATTGACGAACCACGTCAAAGCGGGACCGGTCAATATCATGCCGAATCCCCGACACATACATGCCTCTCTCTGTTCAGGTTTAACGGAGACGGTCAACATCATTTGTTTGTATCGCGCGATATGTTCTCCAGGATCCGTGGTTCCGTCAAATGGCTCCATGGTTGGTACGTCAAATTTATGTGGTAGTTCGACATGGACGATCGAACTGTCAAAAGGTGAATCTTCATAACACGTTCGTGACGCTGTGTCCACAGGCGGGGTACCCCTGGCAATTCGTTGATCTTGTCTTGCATTTGACGCAACTGTTCCATCATCATAGACATCTGGTCTGCCAAGTCTGGATGAATTGGTGCTGGAATCGAGACCATTGGTCTGGTCATTTGTGTGACTTCAGGTCGGGTCAGTGACAGGATGAAGATTATCTTAGGGCGTCATTCCGGAAATATAGTTGCTGATGACGTGACGGGTTTGTGAGAATGTTGCGTCTGACGCTCCAGAAATGATACGTCAGGCTCATTACGTCTGGCATCTTGCACGAGGCTGGACGGACCAGGATCTCCACAAGTCCTGCTTCTATAATGAGGAATTGACTGCTCTGTCAAGGTAGAGGCCATACCCGTCGAAGGCATACTCTGAGTCGCCGAATATAGGCCCGTTCCTCTCGATCTGACTCGAAGGGACTCCGGGAAATAACAAGCCGAAACGTTGGGGACCGTCGTGGTCTCAGGGAAGAGAGGAGTGTAAGAAATAACCTGTGAAATGACTGTTGAATATGGCTCTCTGGTTGGTGTCGGGCCTAGCATTAGGAAAACTAGATTCATTGATGTTGCAGGTGGACCCGTCGAAATTGCAGGTGGATCCGTCGCCGCCAGGGTGATGCCAAGATCCAGTCTTGTGGCGGCAGTCCTGGTGCCGCTCCTCCGGCTAATTATTGAGTTTGAAACTATTGATACCACTGAGTATACCTGTGAATGAAGAACGTTGTTCTCCTGTTGAAGGTGGGCCATCCGCTCCGCCACCTCACGCCAGATTTCTTCCTTCATTGTCTCTAGCTGCTCGTGAAATTCACTCACCAAGGGATTAGCTCCATCCATGATTGATATTTCTCTTGCACAATGCCTTACGGTGGGCGCCAAATTGTTTAAGCAAGAAATTGATAATCTAATCAAACAATAAAAATAGAGATTTGGGGGTTTCGTACAAGAAGATACTCAAAGAATGAAGAATCACGATTACAAATATTATGGAAGTATTGAATTATGAGCACAAAGGAGGTGAGAGCTCTCCCCTCCAATCTTACAAGATGTCCTCCTGATTTGTACCTTCGTGGGTTCAACTATATGGAAAGAATTACTTAATAAAGGAATAAAGATCTACACCATTAATTTATTACAACTATATACTCATTCTCCTTTATACGTGGCCTGGTCAACGTATATGATGCATGCTACTTTCCATATGTGCATGGTTCTAGAAGTATGTAATTCGCCTCTTTTTCCTCCTTAATTATTTGTACTTCATTTGAATTGGGCTTGGACGTTAATCCATGCGTGGGCTCTGACCTGGCAACCGTGGGCCACTTTGGTTGTGAAACAATCCGGGCCCAACAATATGATGCCCAATTGATAGTAGGGGTAGACATTCACTCTTCTTTTGCTTTTGGTTGAACACATTTTATAGACATAATGACAAAATAAGACTACTAAGTTTTGATCGGAAAAAATAGGTCTTGATTCTATTTAGGACGAAAATACGACATAATGCTTCACCCTATTCACGCCCCCTTCCTTCTCAGCTCTCACACTCTCTGCTTTCGAAAGGCCGACAACAAATAGAAGCCAAGAGTTTAGTAAGCTGGTACCATAATGACCGGTTATGGAACGAGGTTGAACGTGCAATCTTTTGAGATGCTCATTTGCTTCTAAGATTGGTTGAAGGCCTACTAGAATGTAAGAAGTTAACATAGCACCAGATCATCATGAAACAACAACCGATACTAGTGGGAGTTCCGACGATTCGGGAATGTATTTAAATAAATTTACTTTGCTTATAATTTGTTAAACATTTGTTAATGTCTAATACTCCAAGTCAATTTAGTGTTTTAATTATATCTACATTTCATTTTTAATGTGTATCATCTGTTATATATATTACTAAATTTAAAAAAGATCAAAACCGTTCGAACTGGCTCGAGACTAGACCTGGGACCGGGCGGGTTTGGGACAGGATTGAGATTCGTCAAATCCGGGATAGTTCCAGGCTTCACCATTCACGATGAGGTAGCCGTGGGAAGGGGCGGGCAATTGGATAGAAAACAGAAGTAGAAGAATATAACAAAAGTTATATTTATTATAAATTGTATTAATATATCCCTAATTATGAGTATTCCCCCCTCATTTTATAATAAAAAGTTTTTTTGATCGTCAACTCCAACAAATATATTAGATCAACATATGACTGATAATACAATCAAAGAAAAAGAAGTAAACAAAGCGATAAAAAGCCTTATGTCTACCATTCGCCCTCGAACCAAACTTAAGCAGTGTTTGCGATTGATAAAAAAAAGTGCTTTTCAGCTTTTGGCTTAAAAAAAGCTAAAAAGAGCGTTTTCAAATGACAGCTTCTGCTTAAATTAATCAGTTAAAAGCTAAAAGCTGGAAGTAGGTAGAAAGGTGCTTTAAACTGCTTTTCACTTTTTCTATTATACAAAAAGTACTTATTTTACCAAACACTACCAACTTTTATTTTTTCAGAATCACTTTTTTCTCAAACACTACCAACTTTTACTATTAATCACTTTTCCCAAAATCACTTTAAAAAATCACTTTTTTTTTAAGTTGAAGCAATTGCAAACACTCCCTTAACTTAGTATCTATCATCTCTGTAGAAGCAATAATATTCGCTGATCCTGTAATGGGCTTAACAGAGCCAATGACTCGCAAACCAGACTTCTCATCATCTGACTTAAATTCTAGAATCTCTCTGCTAGGAAATAAGAACACGTCCAAAACAACATGCAATTCGAAAGAAAAACTCAACAGAATAAAATGACATTAAAACAAAGTTCACCCATCTTCTTCCAAACCCTAGACTTGCTTGCACTCCATAGCGGCGGCTCGGGAGTAGGAAGCGCCTGCCGCTCATCCACCTCAATAGTCATGCTTTTGTATCGAAACCAAACTCCGCCACAGCTTATCCACCTTTTCTTTGTCAACACTTGACATTCGACTAGAAATTACAGCAGAAGTCTAGCCATGGCTGCCAAAGCGCTGCATCCCTGGTCTCGAGCCTGCCAAAGGCCACTCTTCGTCGATGACGAAAGCTGAAGAAACGAAACCCTAACTCGTAGGAAGATGACCGCTAGAGAGAGAGGCTCTCCAATTCCAACAATTGGCTGGAAAAAACCAGTCTCACTCCTCGACAATGGTCGATAGCGGACAAATTGAAGCTAGCAATTAACTTATGACAACCCTAGAGAGAGACGGTCACCGGACTTTTTTATAACAAAAAGTTATACTCCCTCCGTCCCCCTAAGTTTGGGACGGAGGGGTGTGGTGTGGTTTTTAAGAAAAAGTGGAATTGTGTGGTTGGTATTGAATTGATAAAGTGTAAATAAAGTAAGAATGAATTCTAACCACTCAAATGTTACCAAATATGGTATGGGACAAACTTAGTGGGACAGACGGAAAAGGTAAAACGGGACAAACTTAAGGGGACGGAGGGAGTACTACGTATTAGTTACAATTCTATCAATTTTAACAATTTCAGTTACTTAAGCCAAATTCATTTCCATCAAATGGGCTCTTGTTTAAAGTGAGGGAGGTCCTATAGTTTTTGGGCTGAGGTCAATAGTAATGTGTGTTTGCTGAGTTGTGACCTTAAATTACTGGCCCATAGATTTTTCGGACCCGTAAGTTGTAACGTCTGCCATGTTTTGATCTGTTGTTGTATATTCGTATCAGCTTTACAGGCAGATCCCGCACATCACTGTGGTCAGAACGATTTCCGGACAACAACCCTACGAAAATGTCGGAAAAGAATGGAGATTCCAACAAGAAGGCTGCTAAAAAAGCAAACCTTCTCGATCACGGATCCATCAAGCACATCCTCGACGAGTCAGTATCTGAGGTTCGATTGCACTGACTTTTCTCATCTGATTTGATTCGAATTATCCATCCTTCTGCGAGTGAATGTATGTAGAAATTGAAGTCAATTAGAGTTGAATTTGACTCTGGATTGTTTTTTATTTTGCTTTTACGTGTCCTAGATCGTTACCAGCAAGGGCTACACGGAAGATGTGAGGCTGAGCAACGTTAGATTGTTGCTAGGAGTCTTCATCATCATAATTGCTCTCTTCGCTCAGTTCTACAACAAGAAATTCCCAGATAACCGGAATTTTCTCATTGGCTGCATAATATTATATCCTTTTCTATCATTTTTCTATGCTCACTTCCATTTCTGAGCTGGGGTATCTTTTTATCAATAAGAAAGAGTTTAATTCAGATGCCTTTGTATTCACCCTCTATTCAAATATAAAATTCGAAAAAAGTTAAAACCTTGTTACCCTTTTTTATGTTCATCCGTCTGCATAATGATATAATGGAAATGAAAAATAAATTACTTTGTCAGTTGGGCTGCCTCATCTGTTTAATCTTGACTCTGGCACGTATGTGATAGCGAATGCAATTTTGCAGCTGATTGTGTACACGAAGGAGAAGAATGCTATTCTATTCACTTATCCTCCAGCTGTAAGTTGCAGTACTTTTATGTGTTTATCTGCTTATACGGTGTCATGCCATGTTGAATATTTTTGTTTGCTTCTCAGTGTGTTGGTGATAAATTAGGGTTCAATAAAACTGCAGCTTGCTAGTTGTGTCTCTTAATTGCATGCTTCATATAAATATAGCCCTAGTGTTCTTACTAACGGAAGCAAATTTCTATTTTAGTTTTATATTTGATCAGTTCTTTCGATTCCATTCGATTCTGTTGCAGAAAAAAAGCTTTATTCCATAATATCTTGAGGGTTTTGATTTAGCCGGGTTATAAAATTCTATTCAGAGCTCATTTAACTTTGTTAATATTTGTGCTGGTGCCTTAGTTCTGCTCAAGACTTTTCTTTGTTTAGGGAAGAAATAGAAATGTGAGAAGTGTAAGGGAGAGAATTAGGGGAGAATTGAGAAACTTCTGTTCGGTCACAAGAGAAATGGAGAAGGGATAAATGAATATGGTGGTGGTGGAGAGAAAAATGCCCCCCACAAGTTTTTCTTATTTCTTCTCTCTGTCTCTGCTATTGTGGTGGAGAAATAGGAGTGAATTTGACATCCTCTCAATTTGTACCCAGTTTTTTATTTTCTTCTCCATTTGTATTTTACAAAACTAATTTGAGTTATTCCCCCACCATTTCTCTTCCTTGTTTGTCACCCATTGCTCCCTTTTTTATTTCTTCCCTAAAACAAACAAGGGCCAAATGGTCTGAGTATGTAGAAATGTTGCTCTGTTTTCCATTTAGGAGTTTAGTAGTGTTTCATCCTGAAGTATTTCTGCCTGCACTGCCTTGACAAGTCACCAGAGTTTGCACGTGAGGCTTTGCAATAGAAGTTTTGAGTTTCGTGCTTTTCTCTTTTGGCAAGCTGCAAATGGTCAGCTATCCGTCCATTTTCTCTTCTGGAGGCTTCACCATGTGTAAATGGGGGCTTGTAAAAAAGGCACTCCTGCAGCTTGTAGTGTATGTATGAGCGTAGTCCTGGCAGGCAAGTAGAGATGTATTGCTTCGCTTGTTGTTAAACTTGACCTCAATGCTTGTTTCAGCAAAGCAAGAAAAACTCAAAAACAAAAAATTAAAAAAACACATTTATTATAGGCCTTTTATTATAGATATTACTAATTAAAGACGGATTGACAATAAAGTGGGCTAAAAGATAAATTTCCAATCATATGACTTTTTAATATCCAGGAGTATAATTGAGGACTGCTACATAAGGTTGATACGGCAACATATGCAGTGACTAATGTATTTGCTGCATTGACTTTCAATTTTAGTCACTTTCAATTTTGCAACACCAGCACCTCTGTGGCCGCCAATCCAGCACCACTGTCGCCACCGCCGCCACCGGTCACTTTCTCAGTGACTCCGATCAAAGTGACTCTGGTCAAAGTGACTCCGACCAAAGTGATTCCGACCAAAGTGACTCCGGTCACTTTCTCAGTGACTCCGGTCACTTTCTCAGTGACTCCGGTCACTTTCTCAGTGACTCCGGTCACTTTCTCAGTGACTCCGGTCAAAGTGACTCTGACCAAAGTAACTCTGTCGGTCACAGTGACTCCCGCCTAGCGGCCATAATGACCACCGCTCACCGGCCACAGTGACTCCGGTTACGGTGAGCCTTCTCACTGGCCAAACAAAATGCCCGCTCACCACCAGTGTCTGCCGCCGTCAGGCAGTGACTGCCGCCGTCATCAACAGTGACTCCGCCATCACACTACACCGCTAGTGACTGCCACCACCCCTGGCCAGTCACTGCTGCCACCCCAGCCAATCACTGCCGCCCATGGCAAGTCACTGCTGCTGTTCACCCCTTCCATTGAACCACCACAAACCAACCACCCCGGCCGGTCAGGCGGCCACCGCACCCCAACCCAAGCCAAGCCCCTGTCCACCATTGGCAACCACCAATTCCGGCCACCGTCGGCGACCACCACGTCCTAGCCTTCTGCCTCACCTTGCCCCCTCCCCTGTGTCACCATAGCTCCGCCTCACATCAGCTCTCTGCCCAACCTCACCTCAGTCCCTTGCCTGACTCCCTGCCCTGCTTCACCGGCGTTCCCCTGTCACGCAAATCCTCAGACCTCCCCTGCCTCACCATTCCCCCATTCGCCCAACGTCGCACCCCACCCACAAACCACGCCCTAGCTTCCAGCCCCACATCTGCCACCTCCCTACCCCTACCGAATCTGAGTCACCCCAGAACGAACCAAATCTAAAAAATCGAAATCCTTCAAATTAGATCTAGAATTTCGATTATTGGACGGCGGAAGCGAGTATGCGACTCTACAGCGGCGAGGTGGCAGCATCACAGAGTTGGAGTTGTAGCGGCGTGTTTTTGAATCGAAGACCGACCTGCACCTGCTCAAGCGACGGCAGTGGGAGAGAAAGGAGTAGAAGAAGAAAAGAAGGTTGTGGCAGCTGAAGAGGAGGGACGGCGTTGAGGAGACACGGCGAGGAGCGGAGGCAGCGTGTGCGGCGAGGAGAAGCGCTTGCCTCCATCGTTGAAGAAAAAGCGGAGATGGGAGCAGACGAGATCTCGGAATCGCAGGTCGCATAAGTTGGGCGCTGTTTGACAGTGAAGTCATATTACTGGAAAAAGTAGAAACAACAATATATTTGTCTTTAAAGAGTCCATGGCTAATATACGTGCCATTTTTTCTTTATTATACATTTATATCCAGTTTATTACAGTACTAGACATTTTTCAAACTTGCTCATTTTATAACACAATAACATATACAATTTCTAAAAAATATTCTGCTTTTATGAAGACAATTCATTTGTGGGTACTATTATATGCTGATGATGTTCATAGGGTCATATCTATGGACCACTCCGTTGACCTGAGTTTCTCTCTTCAGATGAGGCTGAAAGTTGGGCTGTATTTAGGGATTTGTTTATGTAAGGATCTTTTTTGAAGGTAGAGAATCCGATAATAGAAACAATAGCTTGATGTTTGGATTGTTTGCTAGTAGACATCAACAACAATGTATGTTAGTTGTAAATGAATGAATGATGTGTTTCCGCTTATCGAAACAATGCATATTCTTGACACTGCGCAGTGAGCTTATTTGGGTTCTGCTAGTTTTAAAAACTTACCAATGCTAAATGCCTATCGTAATTATTTCAAGAAATCAAGAAGTTCTGAAAAGAAAAACTTTCAAATGTTTAATATTTCTAAGTGTTGCTCAAGAATCTCTCACATGTCAATTCTTGATAGCTGGCTACCCTATGTCCCTATGAAGCTTGGTGAACTCAAATTTTTTCTGTAAAATCCCTGATAGGCCCTCTTAGGTTTCTAAGATTTCTCCGCACTCAGCTATGACCTTATATTCAATATAAATGCCTGAGTAGGCGCTACTTCACCAGGCCCCACAGTCTCCTACCAAGACATGTGTTCATATCAAGAATAGTAATTACGCCATAGCTCATTACCTACATTGTTTGTTAATATGTTCCATTTATATGGAGGCACTATGGGATGGTATTGAGATCTACAGTAGTTCATGGCTCATAGAATCTTCTTTGTTGTGAATGCTAAGAGCTTTTGATTTTTTTTTTCTTTCCAGGGATCTTTTAACAGTACTGGCTTAGTTGTGTCTTCGAAGCTGCCCAGATTCTCAGATTTGTACACACTGACAATAGCAAGTGCGGATCCTCAGTCCATCTCAGCTAAAACACCTGTGGAGATCACAAAGAGCGTTACTCACTGGTCAGTCTCTTTTCGCATCCACCTCACCTATGTATGTTGCAAATATACTTTGTTCGCAGAGATGTCATATCTAAAATATCTCAAAAGTTACGTGGTGTACTTGCTACATAATAATCCCTTATTGATGATTTCGTTATATAGTTTTGCTAATTTTATAAACTAGACAAAATTTCAAGGTTTGTCTCATCTCAGTGCATTTAAAAACGGAAATTATTGGGTACCTTTTTTGTACATGTACAGTACGTTCTGCAGCATATTTGAAGTTTGACACAACTGTCAAGCAATAACTTTCAAGAGTAACTCAAATAATAGGTATACACTGAGTAAACATTAAGTTGTAAAATTGCTTTATGAGATTATTGTTGTAGATGTTCGTAAATATTTAAAAATAACTAAAAGAATAACTTGTATATTTATTCTTCCGTGCAATAAACTTAGATTTGCAAGTAAGTCATTTGAGTATTCACAAGTACACCTAGGACCAGCATAGCGCTTCTTATAAGTTATAACAATCTTCTTTATGAAAGAAGATTATACAACTTATAAGGAGTATTTATAAGTTTACAAATGAAAGAAAAACAGGAGATGATTTTCTTGTGAATCTACATGACAGGGTTTAACTTGGCATGGATTTTGCAGGTTTACAAAGGATGGAGTTCTAGTGGAGGGACTCTTTTGGAAAGACGTGGAGATGCTAATCAATGATTACGCTAAAGAAGGCAAAAAGAGCAAGTGAGAATCACTCAATGAATTTTGAAGAGTGGAACTGATAGACTCATCATAGTCAGAAGGGAGAGATAGAAAGAACATATTGGTTCTAACACACTGATGTACGTGGATTTTTTTTATAACTATTTCTTTGCTTCGATGCAATCCCATCGTGGTGTTACATTGACTATTAATATCGAAGCAGATTCAGCAGAGTATGCATACTGTATACACCTGGGCTTCTTTTCATCCGTATAGCTTCTCGGACATGAAACCTATTGATAAATGACTGTATACCTTATTGTTTCGGTATTCAGGGAACCAGGAGAGAGGCTCTGGACTTCTTGTAGTACAATTCCACTTACAGGGAATAGAATGAAGGGTGATTGGTCTTGGTTCTGCCCTATGTTCTAAAAGGCGCTAGCGCGCCAACCCAGCGCCTAACGTCTAGGCCGGCGGCTAGGTGGGGACTAGTCGGTAGCTTATACATAACTTATTTTTATCAGTAGCTTTGCATAAATATGATAAGTAATACATAATAAAATGGTAGTGTCATGTTTGTGTGTGAAAAATACACTCATTAGCATACATGAATGACAGAATTGTCACATGCAATGATATATGATAACTAATCACTTAATTGCATTATGTCATAAATATTAAATAATAACAAAATTTAAGTATATATACAAACATATATAGTTTTTATCTTAATCATGATTTAAGTTAAATCTACATGTATCTCTTACAAAAAGAAAAATAAAAATAAAAAATTGTTTAGCAAATCTAGAAGCCCTAGGTGGCGATTAGGTGCTCTAGTCGAGAAACTAGGCGGCTTAGGCGGCCAATTAATTCACCTAGATGTTAGATCATTTAGTCGGAGTACCTAGACAAACTGACAAAAATTGGGTTGCCCGACCATCGCTTAGCGCCTAGGCGAGGACTAGTTGGACGCTTAGAGCGATTTTTAGAACAATGGTTCTGCCTCTTAGGATGAGTGATTTTGAATCTTTGATCAAATTGTGTTTCATACCTTCAATCGGGAGGTCTCAGTGAGGCCGGGGTCTCTGTCATCCATTTGAAAATCTACGCTTCAACCTTACATTAGTTAACCGTCTAATTTCGATAGTGCTCCCCTCTTGCCGGTTGTTTGGGCATTGCATTTAAGAAACCGCCACCGCCACCGTCACCGCCACCACCTTCTCAGTGCCGCAAAGGCTCCCACTTACGATGAGGTCGGATGTCGCAAAGGCTCCCACCTATGGTAGGGTTGGCTCGGTACCCGGGCCGAACCGCCACTGTGCGGTACCGGCACGACCCGGCTAGCCGGGACCGGGCCTTGGCCCGAACCGCCACTGTGAGGTACCGGCACGACCCGGCTAGCCGGGGACCGGGCCTTGGGCCCGAACCAGGGGGGTTTTGGGGCGGGCTACGGGATAGGGTATGATGGACCGGCCGGTTCAGGACCCGTCCGGGCCCAAAATGTTTTTTTTTTTCAAATGGATTGGGTGCTAGGTGAGTGGGGGTGGGTGGTTTGGGGGTGGGGGGTGGGGGTGGGGTAGGAATAAATAAGAAAAACCAAAATTAAAAATAATAATATAAGACCCGACCCGGGCCTGGTCCGGTCCCGGAACCTACCCGGGCCGGTACCGGGCCTCCACTATTGAAACCCAGTCCCGTCCAAGGCCGATCCAGACCCAAGCCCCACCCGGGCCCGATCCATTCCTAGGTGAAGTAAGGGGGTCGGATGTACGAAGGCTTACCCTTGTACAGCTGTACTAAAGCACAGAGAGACTGTTTTCAGATGACCCGTAATGAAAATTGCATGGACTGACTGCTTCTTCATAATAAAGAAGCGCATAAAGTTTAATGAGCCATATTTCTTTATTCCATTATAGTACCAAGCCAAAAAATAGTGAGTCTTTGGCTCCATTGCAAACGATGGAAAAGTTGTATTTAAGAAATATTACCAAAAATGTACTATCGTATTTCATTTGAAAAAGAAGAGAGCAATAACATTTGTTTAAAACAAACTTTTATTGAAAAAGAAAAATTTGAGTACAATGGGAGAAAGAAATAAAAAACAGGAAAAACAAAACAGATGGCGAGTAAAATGAAAATTATAAGTCCAAGGAATTTTTTGGATAATGATATATTCTTCATGCTTGCCGTTTTTTCATCTTAGATTCCCAATAAATTTTGAGTTGCATATTCAAGTTCTCTGTTGTCAGACAGATGTGACGAATTGAGATAGTAATATCTAAATAATACTAGTATGTAATAGTAAGAGACTAAGAGTACTCATTGAAAAAAGAGGGTCAGCATAATGATGTTATCATATATAGATATGTTGAGATATAATTGAATTAGTAATCTTCCAAGCATTCCTGATTAAGAATTATTATCATCATTATATAAATAATCTGGAAATCATAATTATGATTTCAAGGTGATAAATGTGTGGCTCACAATGATCTCCTAATCTCATTGAACTCACACTTTCTCCTATAAATAGGAGTCATTCTCATTGTAAATTAACACACCATTAAAACATCTCTAATACACCTCTATCACACCATTAATAATATCTTTTTCTCCGCAATCTTCTACTTATTTCCTTCAATTTTATAACAAGCTAAACTATTTCTTTTTTTTATTTCGGACTCTTATTTTGGAATACAGCTCTCCGTATGGTCAATTTTTATAGCATTTGATTTGATGAGCTAATGATCAAGTCCTATCGTTATTAAAAGTATATTATCCACTCTTAGATATCAAGCAGGGGTGGACCAGTTAGGCTCCGGTTCCCTATTATTTTTGCCGAATTCTGATCTACCTCACTGGTTTTATAACTTTTATTTCAAATATTATTACTTATAAAAGTACATTTAGTGTTGTTGAGTTGTTCTAAAGGTGTCAAAAGGTAATGCCAAAGTGACCATATTCCCTAGATCCGGAGCGCAACCGGACGCCTTGGACATAAAGCGTGATAAAGTAGCGGGCTAGATTGTTCTAATTTCTAAACATATTTTCTTCTATTTTTATTAACCAACTTCAAAAAGTTTCTACGAAAGCTGTCTACCTTGCATAGAGTTTTTGAACCAACTTAAAAAATCACTTCGTTATGACATTGCTTCGTCTTGGAAGGACAGTTTCTGCTTGGAAAGGAAAATAGAATCAGTAAAAAATCTACAATGATATCTGATTACAACTCCTGCTGCAGCTTTTTTTCTCTCGAAGATCAGTATTGTTAATTATTAGACTAATAGTGGATTAGTGGTGCTACAAGAATGAATTGAGTGCAATTTCTGAGTTATATGGTGTAAAACTAAAAGTGACAGTGTTGACATCAATAGTTATAGTGTTAGAAATATATCCGGAACCAATTAAGAAAATTAATGAAAAGAAATTAATTGAATAAAATGACTTAAACAAAACAAGAAAGGAGATGGAACAGAAACTAGTCAAAGCTCGGACTACGCCCGATTTCCTTAAAACGTATTCGTTGCCTCCCGGGGTGCTAGGAGCGTTGCAAGAATCGTTTCCCAGGATACGATGACTACGAACAATAGTTTAGCACTCAAACTAAAGTTCCAACGAACGTGAACAAAGGCTGAACGCAGAGGAAATTTTCTGGAATGCTAGAGGTGTTTTTAGCCCAGAAATACGTGAAGGAAGTGTGTATAAACTTGTGTTTGTTGCAAACCACCTGCTAGCTACTTATAGGGAAGATTTGTTGTGTGTTAATGGAGGTTTAATGGATATGAACGTTGGTAATCAATGTCCAGCTCGTTGGCATTGATTCGTCCAAAAAACCGTCTGTTTAATGCAAAAGAACGTTGACCATTAATGCTGTAACGTCCCAGCAGTAGCCTCCTGCCAACTGGTCTGCCTTGGAGCAGCAGCCTCCTGCCAAAGGGGCTGCACCTGGAGCAAAAATAGGAACTCGTCGGAGGAACAAAAATTAACATTTATCTTTAGAAGATAAATTTTTTCGGACGACATTCGTGTCCGTAGGTCGCTGACGTGCACTTTGTCGTGTGTGCACTCAAAATAAATTTCAATACTAACACTTATACGTAGTATAGGTGAAGTAGAGTTCGTATCCACAGGGAAAGGAATAATTCTCTTTTTATGAACTAGTAAATAAAAGGGAGGTTTTGGGATTGTTGGAATTTAATTAAATTAAATACGAAGATGAACAACTTATATGAGATTTAATTCGAAGATAAAAAGGACTTGGCATTGCTACTTTCCACTTGTTGATATATTTTAGTCGATCATTGTTATATCTATAACTTATCCCCTCTCAAATACTCAATCGAGGAGTATATCCAATTCATCGAGGGTAGTTATTAACAACGACCGTTCATTAATAACCCTTACTATTAGTCATGTATAGAACACCGCCATATACCGACTTGATAGTAGCATTTAATCTCTTAACTCCTTGATGAAATCAATTGAGATTGATAACCTCAACACAACGGTTTCGGTTTAACCAACAAAATTAATCCCTCTTAAGTTTATTAACCACGACCGTGCATTAATAAACCGAAGTTACTTACTTGTGAAACCATCAACGATTAACCATCGGTTCGTTGAACGTTTCTAGTAGTAATTAATGTTGAGATGTTAACTAATTGTCATCTTAGCAACACTCCCCAACATTAACATAGAGATAGATTAAGGGAAGAATTAATATTCAAGGAAGAAGATTAAATATGAATAATCCTACTATAACTAATGTCAAGATGTTATCTAATTGTCATCTTAGTAACACTCCCCAACATTAATATATAGAGGAAGAAAATAAATACTACTATAACTAATGTTGAGATGTTAACTAATTGTCATCTTAGCAACACTCCCCAACATTAATATATAGATAGATTAAGAGAATAATTAATATTCAAGGGAAGAAGTTAAGAAAATAACTCACAACTTTAATAATCATCAAGCTTCAAGAGCAACACCAAGAAATGGAAGTTTAGCTCCTCATTTGGAGACTAAACATGCTATAAAAATATAAAAGAAATACTATTCTAAACTAAGCTTAAGAGTATGGAAGAAGGGATGATCCTTTGTGAAGGAAAATGGGGTTATTTATAGGTGTTTTCAATACCCTGGGGCATTGACCCGCCCGGGTAAAAGGACATACCCGACCGGGTCAACGTCAAAATCAAATATTTTCCACGTTCTGGCGATCTTCGGCACGTTCTGGTGTTCCGGGTCACATCTGACCCGACCGGGTCAAATAAGTGACCCGCCCGGGTCTAGTGACTTTCTCAGCAGTTTCTGATTCTTTGTCATGCCCGACCGGGTGAAGTATTGTACCCGGTCGGGTTTTTGCTTCTGGGCAGCCAAATCTTATTTTTCTTCACTTCAAAGTCCTCTTTTTCAACACCCTAATTCCTAACTCTACTTTACAACTTACAAATGAAGATTAAAATACAATTACAACTAAAATCACACAAATGTTTACAAACTAAATAAAATGGTAAACAAACCACACAAATCAAACATAAAAACATACACTTATGCACTACTAATTAGTGCATATCAAACACCCCCACACTTGAACCTTTACTCGTCTCGAGTAAACCAAATCATGTCCAAGAAGTTCTTAAATGACAAG